TCAGTAATTAAAATAGGGGATCAGCCCAGTAGTAGCTCCCCCCCCCCCTTCTGTTTAAGGGCAGCTTCAGAAAAATGCGGGAGGCGCCTCTGCTTCAAACTTGGCCTGCTAGTTTGAAGAAGTGGATCCTAGAGGTGGATGCAGTAGAAAGCTACTTTTCCTGAGTGCTCCCTCTTTCTAGAGCCCCCCCAAGGAAGGAGGCAGAGTCCCAGGAAATATGGTTGATATCTATCTATATATATATATTTTGACTCAGCCTTCCATGGTGGGTAAAATGAGGATCCAGATTGTTGAGGGCCATAAGCTGACACTGTAAACGACTAAGAGAGGGCTGTAAAGCACCGTGAAGCGGTATCTAAGTCTACGTCAGGGGTGTCAAACTCAATTTCACTGAGGGCCGCATCAGGGCTGGGGTTGACCTCAGCGGGCCCGGGGATGGGTCGTGGCCAACTGGGAGGGTGTGGCCAACTTGACACCACTCCCTAAACGGCTGGCCTGTTTCCTCTTCGCATTGGGTAAGCTGGGTTGAAGCGCGATGCAGGCCGGCCCCGCGGACCGGATCTGACCACACTGAGAGGCCTGCGGGCCTTAAGGTTGACCTTCCCCCCCCCCTGGTCTAAGTGCTGTTGCTATGGCTATTTTTGAAGCTTTCCTCCCAACTCTGGAAGGTGGCATTGAGGATGGACAGGCAGGAAGCAACGTGACCTCTAATCGAGAGGCTAAAATTTTGTAATAAATTTCAAAGTAGCCTATTTGTCAGAGCTGACTTTTTGAGAGTGCCCCCGTCCATTTCTAGCGAGGGAGAGGTGATTGGCTTGTGTCTCTGGAGCAGGACTGGGCAATTAATTTCCTGAAAAGGCCCCATGAGAAACTGGGACTGTTGTGGAAGGCTGAACCGGTGTAGCTGTGAAGGTGCGTAGGCACACAGGCAACCACATACGTAACTTTTTTTAAAAAAAAAAAAACAGTTGCCTTCAAAATAAAAGCAATGCAGTTGTCCTTGACTTACAACTGTTCATTTAGTGGCCATTCAAAGTTACAACAGCATTGAAAAAAGTGAGTTAAGAGCATTTTTTTTTTCCCCGGTTGGGGCATCTCCATGATCACATGTTCAAAATTCAGACGCTTGGCTGCCGACTCATCTTTATGACGGTTGCAGCGTCCCAGTCATGGGATTGTCTTTCCCCACTTTTTGACAAGCAAAGTCTACAGGGAAGCCAGATTCACTTAACAACCTTATTACTCACTTCACAACTGCAGTGATTTACTTCACTGTAGCAAGAAAGGTTGCAAAACGGGGCAAAACTTAACAAATGTCTCTCTTAGGAACAGAAATGTTGGGCTCAATTGTGGTCGTAAGTTGAGGACCACCCGGACTGCCTGCATGGCCTACTCTTACTTACCTTTGATTTCTAATTTTCGATTGACCTGACACAGGCCAGTAAGATGCCCAGGTGTCTCCTAGAGGGGACAATGATATTTCGGGAGAGCGAGAATGAGCTCCACCCTTATGAGGTCACGCATGGAAGAATACAGGTGGTCCTCAACTTATGACCACCATTGAGCCCCAAATTTATATGCTTCAAGTGAGACATTTGTTTCCCTTAACTTTGTTTGCTCCATTTTTACGACTCCCTTGCCACATTTGTTAAGTGGCTCACTGCAGCTCTTCAGTTAGCGACACGGTTGTTAAGCAAATTGGATTCCACCCCGTTGACTTTGCTGGTCAGAAGGTTGCAACTGTCCTAAACGTGATGAAAATCATGTGACCGTGGGGATGCTGCAGTCGTCGTAATTACAAAAAAACGGGCATAAGCGACTTTTTTTCAGTACCATTGTTAACTTTGGTCACTAAATGAACTGTTGTAAGTTGAGGACTACCTGCAGCTTGCTCTTGACCAGGGGGGTTTCTCCTTCCAGCTGCTGCCGAGAATCCCCTCCTCATTCTAATCCTGGTTCTCTCCCATTTTTTCCTCCAGGCCCGCAGAGAGACGCTCAAGCAGCCCGGGAATTTATCCTCAAAATGTTTGTGGATCTCAACCCCGACAGCGATAAAATTATCTACTCTCACTTCACCTGTGCCACAGATACGGAAAATATCCGGTTTGTCTTTGCTGCCGTCAAGGACACCATCCTGCAGCTCAACTTGAAGGAATATAACCTAGTCTGACCTTGAATGAATCTGCCCTCTTCTCCCGCCCTCCCGATCCGCCCCTCCCTAAATCTCTTTGGGAGACCTTTTGTCGTGAAGAAAAGTAAGACAAACGAATCCCATGAATTTAAACCCAACAGGAAAACGATCTTGATTTTTTTTAATGATGTAATGATTGCAAATTGTCTGATCTGTGGAGTGGCAAAAAGGTTTTTTTTTTTGTTTTCTTTTTTTTTTTTTTTTAAGCACACCGTTACCTTCGGTCTCGTGTCTGCCCCACAGAATAGCTGATTTTTTTTTTTTAAAGAAAGAAATTGCTTTTATTTCACAGTTTAAAAACAGTGGGGGACATGCTTCACTTTTTTTTCTCTCTCTGGCACCTTGTTAATTTCCTGCTTCGTTGCCGGCAGTCAAGGCGGTTTCCTCTCAGACTTTGTACGTTGCATTAGTAAGTTCTTCTTTTTTCTTTTTTTTTTTCCTGTCTGATCTGGCGATAAAACGTATCCCAGACCATCGAGCCAAAATAATGAGCTTTATTCGGCTGCGGGAGTATAAAATTGTAGCTAGGACCTTCAGCTTCTGTGCCATATAATAATGTCTCTGGGGTGAGTCCTGCCTCCCCTTCCTCCCCGTACATCTTGACTGCAAGAATATGTGCCGAAAGGGTTTACCCTAGATGACATCGTCAGAGGGAAACCCAGTTTGCGACAGCGCAAAAACAAGCCGTCTTTTGGTTCCCGCGTTCTTTCGTTGCTTTTTTTTATTCTCTTAGTTTCCTTCCCTCTGAAAGTTCTGTTTGAGACTGTGATTTATTATTTTTTTTTAAATTATTGTTCTACACGTAGTTTGCTACATGTGCTATACTTTCGTTTGTTGACTACCAACCAAGCAATAGCTATCAAGCCTGAGGGAAGTGCCTGATTGCATTTTTTTTTTTTTGTTTTGTTTTGTTATCCTTTTTTTTTTCTTCCTGTTTTCTAATTTAGTGTTTAAGGAAAAAAAAGAAAAAGAAAAGAAGAAGAAGAAAGTTAAAAATTTGCTTCTCACCCAACGTGAGAAAAAATCCCTTCGGTGGGAATCCGAAAATCTGCGCCAGGTTTTGGGCCGGAAGGAAGATTTGAGGTTTTGACTCATTCTCTTGGATCGTTTGTGTGCGCGCGTGTGTGTGTGTGTATATATGTATGTGTGTGTGTTTTGCAAATTAACCCTTTGGGATTGGGAAAAATCTTGACCCAGTGTTTGGTCGGGGTAGGGTTAAGATGGTGTCTGCATTCTGAGTCAAACTGAAGCAACCTTTTATTTTTTATTTTTTATTTTTTCGCCTTGTTGGTCCTAAAAAGTATTGGAAAGGTCTTGTCAGCTCTTGGCGTGATTGCAGCCACATCAGGGGAGGCCTTTGAATGACAGTGCCAAGGCTGGTGTGATTGGCAGCTGCTGCCATCCCTCCTCCCATCTTCTTGACCCCGTTCTCTCTCTCTCTCTCTCTCTCTCTCTCTCTCTTTCTCTCTCTCTTGGAAGCCGGCTCACTCTGGGGGTGGCCAGGAACGTGCGTGAAAAGGAGCCCAGCCAAAGGGACCTGTGGAATAGAGGCGGTTTTATAGGTGTAGCTTTGAAGTGGACCAGGTCAGAGGGGTCCCCTTTTTGGAGAGGCTGAGTGCCAAATGTGTGCCCTGCTCCGAGCCAGTGCCAAACCAGTGCCAAACTTTTGCCAGTCTTTTCGGAAAGCAGATGGCCGCAGGACCCAACTAGGGGAATCGAGAGAAATTAGCCGGTCTCCCTCTCTTCTTCCGGAGATCCCCCGGGTAGCTAAGCAGCAACACAATATAAGCATCTCGCAACTGCCAACCGTCAACATTTACAGATGCCGCGAGAAACAGCCTTTTTTTTTCACCAATGGGACAAACGGGCCGATCCCCGGAAAAGGATGGGAGCCTCCGATGTGCTTCCCCCCCCCCTTTTTTTAAATGTTTTTTTGTCACGTTGCAACGGGCAACACGAGTGGACTTCCGCGCATGAGATGTTAATGAAGGGTTTGAGGGGGCGTGTTTTGCTTCGACAACGACAACACTAATTTCGCATGGACGTTTGCAGCATTCCAGCGGGGGGGGGGGGGGGGGGGGGGGGGGGGGAGCGGGGGTGCTGCCTTTGGCTTTCTGGGATCGCCCCCCCTTTTTTTTGTGGAACACTACAGAAAGAAGCCGGGGCAGGGAGAGCTGCATTTTTTGGGGAGGTGGGGTGAGTCCCTCCCGCTTACCCTTGCATTGTATCAACAACACACGGTGAATGAGAAGTTACTAAAATTGGGAGAAAGTAACCTTCAGTTACTACAGAGTAACTACACAAAAGGGCTCGTTGGGTTGATGGGGGGGGGCGGGCGGGAAGAAACGGAGCTATTTTCCAATGTCACCAACATTCCTGACTTTTTCTTAGTTGGGTTTCCTCAAAACTGCCTTGGGGGGGGGGGACTGTGTTTTAGGGATTTGGGGCAGGGGAAACGAATGGATTCCCCCCGATAGGCAGAGGAATGTCGAATTTTGTCTTCTCGCCCAAAGACCCACCAGACTTGACTTTCCGTAAGGGGAAACACTGTCCTCGCAAAGGTGCCATGACTTTAAACTCTCGGGAAGCCCCCTCCCTGGAAGTGTTTTTTCTTGGATGGCGTGACGAGACCCTGCCCTCTGCGGCGGGCTTTCACTGCAGGCCTTGGACCCCGGGAGACTCGGATCGGGAGCGCCTGGCCCGTCACTCTCGGCATCGCCTTTCCAGGAAATGGGCCTCCATCCCGGACCGCCGTGCCTGCCCGAGCGGGCCCTTCCTCCGTAAGCCGCTGGGGAGCCGCGTGGAGATGGTGTGCGGGGTATGTGTGCGTGTGTGTGTGTGTGTGGAGGGGTGCTCTTCTTTTCTCGCAAAGCCGCACTACGTGGACCAGCCGTCGTCGGGATGGAAGTTCCCACCCCCTTGCGGGGTGTTTCTGCTCCGGAGTTGTGCCAACCTTCCTCTCCCATCGCAGCTACGTTCCTCCCTTCCTCTTCCGCTGGCTGGGCCGATGGGAACTGGTCGAGGTTCCAGATGACCCCCCCCCCCACGAAAGAAAAGGCCGGCGGGGGCCCTTGGAATCGGGCCTGTGTGTGGCGGAGGCAGCCAAAGTTAAAGACGGGAGCAGTCTGACCATGTTCTTGTTCACGGTGCACTTTATATGAAGAAAACTAAAGAAGGAGAAAAGAAAGGAAGAGTCCTACTGAAGAAAGCACTAGCCTGCTCACACACACTTCTGTCAGGCTGCAGGCGGAAAGAGGATCGCCAAAAACGCACCATTCCATTTCCTTCGGGTGTGGGGGGGGGAGAAACGGGGACTTTGCGGCGTTTGGCCTACCCAACCGGCAGCTGCCCCCCCCCTTCCAACAGCCTCCCCTTGGGATTGAATTCTCCACCTGCTTTTTGCCTTTTTATCGTGCGCCCCTCCCTCCAGACACATTTTATAGCTACTTTTGGGGGGCGGTGGGGGGAAGTGTAGGATCGTGCTTGACCGGAACGGAAGGCCGAGTTCACCATCCGACGTTTCAAGTCTGTAATTCAGTACTCTCTGTGTGCGTGTGCGTACGTTGTATACTTTTTCTTTTTAATTTTCAAGAAGAAGAAGAAAAAGAGAAGCATTATTACATGGTTTTGTGCCAATGCCCATTCTTTTCTTTAGTACCAGAGACACTTTTACAAGTACCAGTGTGGTGAAAAATTATTTGGTTATACTAGTATATTATAAACAGAGAACCTGATTTAAAAAAAAGAATAACATTTAAACGTCCTATTTAAAAAGAATATAAAAATGCTGTTTTTAAAAACCTTTTTTTTTTTGTCATTTTGAACTTGCATGTGGTGTTAACACGTGGGGGCAGGGTGGGCAAAGGAGGGGATTTGGAATTGCGTGGCCCGGGGTTGGTATTCCCCCCCCCCCCTTTGTGTTCCTGTCTCGCACTCCCGACGGCGAGGAGGAGGAGGAGGAGGAGGAGGAGGCAGAGGCTGGGTTTCTCGGAACACTTGAATTCGTTCATCTGCTGGGTGCTGACCCTCCTTATTTTAGAAGTACCTGATGGGAAATTGATTTTCATAGCTTTCTCCTGAATAAATTGTTTGAAATTGGAATAAAATTCATTCCTTACAAAAACCATCCTCTGTCGTCCTTGTTCTCTTATGTGCTTTTTTTTAAAAAAAAAAATTTGAAGAATGACAAAGGAGTCCTTAACTTACAAACTTCGCTTAGTGACTCTGGTAAAAGTGACTTGGAACCATTTTTCGCACCTGCAGCGGTTGCAGCATCCCCAGGGTCATGCGGACAAAATTCGAGGGCTTGGCAACTGACTCATAGTTACGACGGTTGCGGTGTCCCAGGGCCACATGATCCCCTTTAGCGACTGCCTGACAAGCAAAATCAATGGGGAAGCCAGACACACTTAACAACCGTGTGACTAATTTAACCGCTGCAACGTCTCACTTAACTGCCGTGGCAAAAAAACATGAAATGAGGCCCAACAACAACCGTCTCACTTGGCAACGTAAAAGTTGGACTCCATTGTGGTCGCAAGTGGAAGACTGGATGTAAATTAAATTGGAAAATAGCTTCCCTATTTACCCCAATCTAGAGTTGCAGATTTAATAAATAAATGTGTATGATTGAGAGACAGGTTGAGGTATTGGCTGAAGGCGAGAGAAGCGGCTCCGTGGCTATTCAAACACAGAATATCCGGTTGGCTTTTACCTCAGGAGGCCAGATACCATTGGGGGGGGGGGGGGGGGGGCTTGGTTTTCCTCATATTATTTTGAGGAAGATAGGCTTATTAAACTATAGAGCAAGATGAATCCACTGCAGATCGTCCTCGACTTACAACAGTTCATTTAGTGACCATTCAAAGTTTACAACGGCACTGTGGAAAAAAAAGTCTAGTGACCATTTTTCAGACAACTGTGGTTGTCTCTCATAATGTGATCAAAATTTGGATGCTTGGAAACTACTGATTCCTGTTCATGACGGTTGCGGGGTCCCAGGGTGATGTGATCCCCTTTTGCGACCACCTTACAAGCAAAGCCAATGGGGGAAGTTAGATCCACTTAACAGCCGTGCTAGGAACTCAACTGCTGCGGGGATTCGCTTAACAACCGTGGCACAAGAGGTCCTAAAATGGAACAAAATTTGGCTAACAAATCTTTCACTTAGCCACGCAAAAAATTGGGGCTCAGTTGTCGTTTTGTTGAGGCCTACTATTCTGTAGGCAGATGCTTTGAAGAATAATGTGTGGTGGGTCAATGGTGGAGTTAAAAATGAGCATAGAACCGGAACGAAGTTTTGGTTTTTGTGAAACCGTGTCGTGGCCTGGAGATTTCCATGACGGGGGTATAGATAACATGGGGCTTCAATTCACATTGGCCCTCCATTCTCTCCAGGCCAAAGGGAAACATTGATTTGGACAGGAAATTGGAATGGAAATTTCCTCATTAATAAGTCACCATTCTGAGCGAGATGAAGGCAACATAGTTGAAGAACCTAGCTGGAATGGCTTGAGCAGAGGGTTGGACTAGAAGACCTCCAAGGTCCCGTCCAACTCTTGTTATTCTGTATGAAGCTAGATAAGAAACTTCAAGGATGTTGTAAAAGCCACCATGGAGTTGAAGCATCCAGTGAAGCCCCATTCAGTGCCAGGACCCCAATTAGAGCATTTAGACCGGGAGCTTCTGACCTTTGGCAGACTTGTGGACTTCAACTCCCAGAATCCCTCAGCCAACCGTGCCACCTTGGTTAAAACAGCTCGTCAGCTTCTGTCACGCGTGAATCCACACCCGCCTACTACCATCAACCTGGAGACGTCTATTTTTCCACAGAGCTGAAATTTCAAACTTATCCGGAGCTTCTTAGAAATCTGAATGGAGCATGCTGGTTGGGGAATTCTGGGAATTGAAGTCCGCAAGTCTTCCAAAAGGTGCCGAGGTTGAACGCTCCTGACGTGGAGGGATCTCCAGCCACTGGGGAGCCCACAATTACTCAGAGTCACTGATTCCGCTGTTGAATGGATTTTTTGTGGTGTTGTTTTTAAACAACTTATTAGGAACTCGCCTTCCTGAACTGTTCTTTTATGTCCTCCCCTCTGGAACAGCTACAGGTCCCGTGCAGTCATTTTTTTCCTCGGGCCTAAACCTCCAACTTCAGTCATCACAGAACTTGGCTTATAGTCCCCGGATCAACCTCAGCCTCTGAATCCTTCAAGGATCATCTTTTAACCTGCTGAGGTTAGCCGGCAGCAGGTGCGGATGGTGGAGGAGACTGAGGACTCAGATGAAGGGCCAGGACCATGAGGGAGATTGTGGGGGCTGGCAGCAGCGATGAGGAGGTTCCCGAGGAGCCTGTGCCCGGTGCACGTGTGCGCGGGATTGCTCATAGAGAACAGTTACAGCAGCACGGGCGACTCGGGAGTAAGGCTGCAAGGTAATGGCCCCTTCTTCAAGAGGATAAAAGCCAGGTTTGAAGAAGCGTTCCTTGCAGAAGGCAAAGACGCTCTGAAACTCAACCTCGTGGGCATTATAGTTAGTATTTGAAAACTCTTGTAAACTATTTCTTATCTGTGGGTTTTTGGCAGCCTTTGGCAAGTTTCTTTCTTGTCGGAGCTAAATTAGTTGGAAGCAGCCTTTTATCTGTGAAGAAACCGTATTTGTAGATTAAACTTTAAAAAGTGGGGGCTGCTGCCTTTGTCTGGTGTTTGCTCTCTTGGAACCAGGTTGGGTCAGAACATAACCCCATAATCCCACGCGACCCCATAATCCCTTGGGGAGTGGAGCCTGAGCAACTGAATGGAGCTAGCTGAGTGTTTTAATGGCCGGATGCCCCTCCTGTTGCCAATGCGGAGTTTTGTTCAGTAGATATATTCTCAGTGTGCACAAAGAGACAGAGAGAGAGAGAGAGAGAGAGAGAGAGAGAGGGAGGGAGGGAGGGAGAGAGAGAGAAATATCTGCCTTTACCTAGGATCGAACTCACAGCCTGATTGTGAGGCGAGAGCTCCCGTTCTAGGCCACCGCACCGTTTCTCCAAATCCTTCAAGGACGATGCCTTAGAAATGGACCCACTCTTCTAATTGGGGTCTGAGCAAGCCAGACTCAAAAGGGAGCCATTAAACTTTGCGGTGATAGCCAAAATTGCCTTTCGCTTTTTGCAGCCTTGCCCAAAGCACAGTTAATTCTGGATTTTAATTTGGCCTCTTTTGAGTATAATAAACTACTTTCCCTCCCCAACCCCTCCTTTTTTTTCTTTTTTTCCTTTGACAATTTGCAAACTTTCCTTGCAGCACTTAAACTCTTTATTTTTTAAAAAAAAACGAAAGTCTGATATTTGGTGCCTTTTTCCAATTTGTAGAGAGATTCTCAGCCATCCAGGCCATGGTTGCTCCAAAGGTGGGCTTTTTTTTTTTTTTTTTCAGGAGACAACTGGACTTTTTGGTTTTCTTTTGAAGGCGTTTCGCTTCTCCTCCAGGAAGCTTCTTCCGCTCTGACTGGATGGTGGGGAATGAAGGGATTTATACTCCTTGTATAATGACACAGCTGGTCCTTTGCATCCTTTTTAGAGGGTCGTTGAGGCCACTTGGAGGTTTCTCTGTGTCCTCAGGGTCACCTGAGTGATGCAAATGATTCCTGCAGTCCTCCATTTTCTCCTCTGGAAACCCATTCCTACACCCACCCCATTCGAAGGGTGTTCATCCCAAATTGTATAGCTCAAAGTCCGTAGAGATTCTCCGTCATCCAGGTCGTAGTTGCTCCAAAGGTGCCTTTTTTCAGGAGGCAACTGGACCTTCTGGGGTTTTTATTTCCCCTTTGGAAGATGTTTCTCTTCTCATCCAAGAAGCTTCTTCAACTCTGACTGGTTGGTGGGGAAATGGAAGGATTTATAGACCGATAATCTTAATTTTTTTTTATTCTGGGCTCGGCTGTGTGTGTCTTTTTAATTACCCTAATCCTGTCCAGCCCACAATTAAAACAAATCTCCCCAAATATATGGCCTCAAACACATCATCGAATGCTTTGCTAATACGGGAGTCAGGGTGTCCAGGCAGTCCTCGAGTTACAACCATCCGTTGAGTGACCGAAATTCCAACAGCACCGTAAAATGGCTTCAGATCATATTTTGCATTGAGCGACGGTTGCGGCGTCGTGGTTACATGGTCCAAATTCAGAGGCTTGGCAACTGGCTTGTACTCAGGAGGGTTGCAGAGGTGGTATTCAGCCAGTTCTGACCAGTTCTGGAGAACCAGTAGCGGAAATTTTGAGTAGTTCTGGAGACCCGGCCAATCTCACCTCTGACTGGCCCCGCCCCCATCTCTTCTCCGCCTCCCGAGTCCCAGCTGATTGGCTGGGTCTCCTTTGGTTGCCCTGCACAGGAGAATGGAGCTGGAAAGCAGGTTAGTGGGGTGGGGAAGGAATGGGGATTTTGCAGTGTCCTTCCCCTGCCACTCCCACCAAGCCACACCCACTGAACCGGTAGTAAAAATATTTTTCTATCCCATAACGACCGTAGTGATTCGCTTACCCACCCTGGCAGAAAAGGTCGTAAAATGGAGCGCAACTCCCATTAACAACAACTCCCATTAACAACTTAGCAATGCAAGTTTTGGGGCTCCGTTGTGGTCGTAAGTCGAGGACTTGTCTTTATGGAGGTAGTCCTCAACTAAGCGACCGCAATTGAGCCCAATGTTTCTCGTTGCTAAGCGAGACATTTTTTGAGTCAGTTCTGCCCCATTTGACGACCTTCCTTGTACAGTCCTTAAGTGAATCACAGCAGTCATTAAGTAAGTCACACGGTTGTTAAGTGAACCTGGCTCCTCCCCCTCCCCCCTGGACTTTTCTTGTCAGAAGGTCCCAAAAGGGGATTACGTGACCCCCAGGACACTGCAACGGTCATAAATGTGAGTCAGTTGCCAAGCGTCCAAATTACGTGACTGACTATGATGCCGCAGTGGTCCTAAGTGTGAAAGGTGGCCATAAGTCCCTTCGTTCAGTGCCGTTGTAACTTCGGTCACTAAATGAACGGTTGTAAGTGGAGGACTGCCTGGGCCTGCATTCGCGCCTACCTACCCGCACATCCCACCCTTCTCCTTTGAGATAAGCAGGAGCCATAAGAAAACCTGGAGC